TGTCTTAAACACAACTCAGAACCAACTTAGGTTTTTCAAAAAATAGCTGCAAAATGCAAGTTCCAGAAATTTCTATGTGACATTGTACATGAGTTCATTTACTGAGAAATTCTTTAATCCTAGCATAGGTCTACCATGCTATAATTCTACCTAAGTTATTATTTTTAGTAAAATTAGTGAACACCTAGTCAATGAAGATTACTCTGTCAAAACTTAACATGCAAATGGCTTGAAAGAAAATTAAATACTCATTTTCTTAGATATTAAAGCTAAATACTCACATAGGTATTTTTAAATGAAATGGCTTTCCTCATATTACTTTTATAAAAAATTATTCAGATCTCCTGTTCTTGGTCATTTCCAGTGATAATCATAAGAAAAAATATATCTTCTCTGAAGCTCAGCTGATCTTTACCGAATAAAAGGATATGAATATCCTAAATGTCATTGACGGTAGTTCTATTGCGTAATATTTAATGGTGTCACTAATTGCCAAAAATTATTGTGATGTATATTGCAAAGAGTACATAGATTATGAATTGAATTGTGTGCCCCTTCAAAAAGGATAGGTTGAACTCCTAACCTCCCCCCTTACTTAGATTGTGACCTTATTTGGGAAAAGAATCTTTGCAGACATACTTAGTTAAGGTGAGATTACACTGGAATAGATTCCTGTAAGAACATGGGCATGTAAAGACACAGAGACCCAAGAAAAACACCATGTGAGATTGCAGACAGGCACTTGCAAGCAAAAGAACTCCAAGAATTGACAGCTACCACCAGAAGCTAGGAAGCCTCATTCCCACCTTATGCTGCTGCTAGATGACTATCAGTGAAATTAAGCTTTCATCACATGTCACTCGACTAGTCAAAATCCCCAGGTGCCTGTAACCACTGAATTATGTGCCATCTAAAATTCTACATTAAGAGTCTGTGCTAACTTCCCGCTACAATCTAATCTGTATATTCCCAGTAGTAGAGACTTTGCAACTGTCCTGCCAGAAGTCTTCATAATGTGTCTCTCACTTTCTAGCCATAGAACATTTTGCTCATCTATTCCAATTGTCTAGAACACCTGTGCACCTCCCCTTGTCCAAATCCTATGATTCCTTCATGTCCCATCTCATACCCCATTCTCTGTATGAGGGCTGTTATGGCTTCTTCCCTTAGCACGGTATTACCTTCTTCTTCCCTGTATTCAAATAACACACTTACAGCACTTCCCATGTTTTCTTTTTTATTTTGCCTTCATGTGTAGTCATTCATGTTCTTGGCGATCCCCCCTTGGACTATAAGCCATTTACAGGCAAAAGTGTGCCTTATTCATCTCTAGTTTCTTGCACTCCACTGCTATACACATGTAGTCACTTAATAAATATACCTTCAATTAGCCCTACAAGTTAAGAAACTTCTGATTTCAAAATGGAGCCTTGAGACAAGCTGGCTTTACTCCCCCACAACCCCATGGAAAACCAAACCCAAATATACAGTGCCAGGATTATCACTAGCAACATCCCAGGACTAAGATATGAGGCAAAGCCCATTTTAGGGGTTGCAGAGAAATGAAAAGCTTCAAGCACATGGTAAAAGAATTGCATTTCCATATCCGGGATGCCCTTCCCTTTGATTGCCTGACACCATTTCTCTCAACTCATGGTTTCTGTACTGAAAAAACTGAGATCTGAGGTAGATAACCAGCTTCCTCAATATCTTGCATTCCATAGAGGTAGATTTCTCCTTGCCTCAACCCATGAAAATTATCTGAATCCCTGAAGAGAGAAATATCCCTGAGCTAAGCCAGAGGCAAAGGCGAAGGCAAAAATCCCACACCCAGGCCTGGAGACCCTGCTCTGTAACTCAACCAGAAGAGACACCAAATCAGAGTGGCTCTTCAGTAGCAACATGTTGTAGGAGGTACATTCCACAGGTCCCCCGGGCAGGAACCCCTAACCAGCCTTCCCTTTTGCTATGACCTCTGAATTTTCCTTTGTGTTTCTATAGCAATGCTCACATATGGCTGTCTCATTAGAGGCATAGCAAAAATTCAGTGTGATTCAGAACAGTTCATAAAACTTTTGGGCTACCCCAAAAGATGACTGCCTACAAAGTTTGGGTCACATCTATCCAATTTTACCAGAACTATCCCCTTACTCTATCACTTACATGCAAGTTTCCTACCTCTAAACCCCTCTGCTGCCAAAGCTGAAGGCATCTAATGATTTAGCTGAAGGAAATGCTCTTCAGAAGCGTGAATTACCATCAAAATGATTTAGAGACACAGTTAAATCTAAATATATCACTTTACTTTCTCAGAGGTAATCATAATATGTGTCCTACTATGTACAAGCTTTGAGAATCAAGATATTTTAAAAGGGTGTTAAATCATATTATTAATCAAAAGGGAAAAAATGCAGAGGACAAAAACTAACATAAGGCTGCCACAGATGCCATACATTCTCTTATCTCTTGTCATCTTCAAAATTACCCATGGAGTTTATCTTCACCTTGCAAAGTAAATAATCAGGGAAGAGGGAGGGTTTCAGAGTTAAACTCCATGACTAGGCACAGTCAGCTTCAAACCCAGCTGTAACCCCGGGGACTGTGTTCTTATTATCACACCACACTTTATCCCAGAAAGTAGGAACTGGAGGGCATAATGGTGATGATCACTAAACAACCTATTCCGTCGTGCTAACCAGGGAAACAGAGATTAAGCAGAAGCGAGCTCTATGAAGTGCGTGATTTAGCGTTCATCATTTGGTGAGTGCACTGCATTCATTTTTAGGTTTTGGGTTCAGAAGATGGTTAACTTCACCCATTCCTACTTTTCTAGCCAGGATGTTGAAGTTCATTGCCTGATAAAATGTCATAAAACTAAAAAATAGTTTTGTGATATTACCGCAAAATTTTGGAAAATAATTCGTTGGCAAAAACAATGAATTATATTAACTTAGTCTTAAACCTGGACTAAAGAAACTGAATAATACCTGAAAGTTACCACAGTGAACATTTTTAATGTTTCTCTCTTTGACAAACTATTTGGATTTTTTGAATTTTTTCCCAAGAAAATTGACCTAGAATTATTTTTTAAATGTAGCCTTTTCACATCTGCATTAAAATGTTTTGACTTTGGATGAGTAAGATTCTCCTGAAGGAAAGACAGTTTGTGCTCATTTTAATACTAAAATATATCATGATAATTTTCACTTATTAGTCATAACTTTCTGATTCTGTTATCCCTAATTTTAACTTGATGTTAAAGAATTTTAAAGTTAAATCCTGACTTCTAACTGCTCTTTGTTGAAAATTTCTTTATTGGAATTTAGAAGGATAGGATTCTGAAACACGGTAGTGAAATGCTATAGAACCCCAAAACAATAAAAATTAAAGAGACCAAATTCTTTCTATATTAAATTAAGAGTCTCTAGCTACTTAAATAATTAAAATCAGATCTCTGATATAGTATTTATGGTGAGAATGTTAAAGAAATTGATGTACGATTCACTTTAGTATTTTAGTTTAAGTAAATTTAAGGAGATTCAGAAGGCTGTGTGTTTCATTCTAGAAGTGCTGTTTGTCTTACGTTTCAGCTGAGCTGTGTCTCAATATGAGTCCGACACCTCCATCTGGTGGCCCAGCCATAAAATTCCCATGCTATACTTTTTTCAAGATGCTCTACATTTGTGTTGTTTCAAATTTCTGAGTTTTTAAATTGATGGCTTAATCCTATTTTAAATGTTTTTCTCAAAATTTATTTCTCATGCAAAAGTGAATGATATTCAAAATAATCAGTGACCTGCAGGAAGCTAAGCATTGTCTTATCTGTTCCTGCAAGTCACTACTAACCGTGAAAGACAGTTACATCCTTATGGCCAGTGAAAATAGCATTTTCTTCTATTTCTCTGAAGAGAAGAAAATAGTTTCTTTTAAATTATTTAATATTTGAAATATCATTTCACAGTGATACAGGCACAGTTCTTTTCAATATTCTATTTTAACAGCCTATGATTATTTATTAAGTAACAAGATCAAAAGCCTCATTTTAAACCCAGATATATTTTTCCTTTTGCTTTCTCACAATTTACCAAATTAATTCCATTATTATAGAGATATTTTTATTTTAGATTATTTTGGCCCGTTTTCTTCCTGAAGAATCAATGCTAATGTTTATTCAACATACATAAATTTGGGATTATGTGGGTTTTTTTTTTCCTAATATCTGTAGAATACTTGTGAATCTGCAAATATATAATTTTGATGTCATTTATCATTTCACTCAATTCATAATGGGCTTTTTTTTTCAATCATTAAACAACCCATCTCTCTATTCTACACTCCAGAATCACTGCTCTGTGCTTTACCCCACCTCTGCTCTCAGACCATTCGGATGTCTTCAAAACATGAGCTGGGACTCACATTTAATTTTTTTTTTAATGAGTTAATAAATGCAGTTTTCAACAGAAACGTTTATTTATTTATTTTGTTAAATCCAGCTATCTATTTAAACAGGAATATCCTCTTACTATATATATCATTGAAATGAATATTGGAGAGTTCAGTGACTAATGAGGTCTCCAGTTACCTGTTATATAATGTAACTAGCTTCTTAATCTTGCCATGTTGATATTTATGAAGACTTTTTTATTTAATATATCCTATCTCTTTCTCTTAGCATCATTTCAACTGATTTTGAGTGTATATTAACTCTAATTAACTACTTTTCCATCATCCTGTATCCTGTATGAGAACAACGGTTCCGTCATTGTTAACTTATTCTGTTTTAAATGTCATAAAGGTTATATACTCATACCTTAGTGTTTTTGTTCAGTCATTCTTTTGATTCATGTGCAGCACACTTTAGCCATTGGCCACTGCCTTGTAAAACTCCCACTTTGAATAAATGAGAATAAAAACATTCTTGATTAAGAAAACAGTAAATTTGTTTTTAGAATAGCAATATAACCGTATAACCAGAAAGGAAATGTCCTTTTCCTTTTCAGAGGCGAGCTGCTGATAATTTAAGAAGACATCACCAATACCAAGTAAGTTGTCCTTGTATTATGTCTTGAAATTTTCATTAAAATAAATGCAGTTCCCCCTTCAGAACTGACTCAGGAGAAAAATTTATTTACACATTGAATATCAATACTCTTGTTCTAAAATGCCCCAGGAAGTTATGAGGAACCTTGTGAAGCGATACGTTGCTGCAATGATTAGAGATGCTAAAACTGAAGAAGGCCTGACCGAAGAGAACTTTAAGGTAACCATTTTCATCTTCATCACAAGAGGCAGATTGTGCAGAATACGGATCCAGTTAGAGCACAATTAAACTCAGAGCTGGAATGTAGCTGTGTGTTCCAGCAAGCCTGTGTGCTCTCTCATTTTTCTTTTTCTTTTTCTTTTTTTTATTACATTGTAGGTTTTGGGGTACATGTGAAGAACATGCAAGATTGTTGCATAGATACACTCGTGGCAGTGTGATTTGCTGCCTTCTTCCCCATCACCTATATCTGGCATTTCTCCCCATGCTATCTCTCCCTAACTCCCCACCCGCCCCGTCCCTCCCCTACTTCCCCTCAACAGACCCCAGTGTGTGATGCTCCCCACCCTGTGTCCATGTGTTCTCACTGTTCAACACCCATCTATGAGTGAGAACATGTGGTGTTTGATTTTCTGCTCTTGTGTCAGTTTGCTGAGAATGATGGTTTCCAGGTTCACCCATGTCCCCCTACAAAGGGCACGATCTCATCGTTTTTTAATGGCTGCCTAGTATTCCATGGTGTATATGTGCTGCATTTTCCCTGTCCAGTCTATCATCGATAGGCATTTGGGTTGGTTCCAGGTCTTTGCTATTGTGAACAGTGCTGCAATGAACATTCGTGTGCATGTGTCCTTATAGTAGAACAATTTATAATCCTTTGGATATATACCCAGTAATGGGATTGCTGGGTCAGATGGAATTTCTATGAAATCCTACAGAACTGTAAAAAGAGAATAAAAGCAAGTGGCTAAATTTCTTCTCAAAATAAATTGTTTTCAAACATACAGAGAAAAGCCTAGTGCTTAATGGCATTCTGACTTGCCTGATCCTAGAGTGAGCTGCCGTTTCTGAAATTTCAGCCTGATTTTAAAATCTGCAACATTTAGTAACTAAAACATTAACAACAAAAACTTGCTGCATGTTCTGCGAAACTTTGATAGTGATGAATTTATAATTTGAGTATAATTGTAACTAATGCACTTATAAACTTTCTCCTTGATAGTTTTTCAACGTGTACGAGGAAATAAGTAGAATGTGTGAAATATTATATGCTTGAATCACATGTTTAAAATAATTTAGTTATGTCATGTGTTTCAAGATTTTGGAAGAATGATTAAGGTCAATAAGAGCTTATAGGCAAAAACAAACAAATAAAATCTGCAGGAGATATTTAACATGGAAAGTAGCAGGTTTGAACATGAGAATGAAGTAGTGAGTTAGGTAAGAAGATAGAGAAATTACAACACTTAAAGTACAGGTTGAAAATTGGCTAAAAGCCCAGACTTTCTTCGCAGCCATAAAGTTCAAATTGTAAAGTTAAATGATTCATGTTGCTTTAGGAGATAGGTTGGGGCAGAAAACTACCAAGAAGGCTGCCATCGGGTTAAGACTGAGAATTCAATTGCCCCAAAAGACAGAGGAAAAGGATGAATCTAAGAAATGTTGTTAGATCAGAAGGAATTTTTAGGATGTGGAGGCTGACCCAGATGTAGGGGGATGGTCCTCTTTAAGAGAATAAACAATTGAAAGTAGCTATTCAACTCTTAGAAAGTTAGGCTCCACTTAATTTTCAGATATCTCTTTGGACAAAAAACTGTGCCAATATTTAAAAAAAAAAAAAAAACCTTATAAAATACAACCCAGAGACAGGTAACTTGCCAGCAGATGAATAATTTGGAGAGGAAGTCTTCAAAACCGTAGTCCCAGAGAAACCCAATGTACTCAGCTGCATCTTGGTGGCAAAGATAACTCATGTTTCTTTTTGCATCCATCTCAGGAAGTGTCCTTCCCAATTGCAAAAAGGAAATTAGGAGACACCAAAATGACATCAAGTATCCATGAGAGAACTGGGAATTCTAAATAGAACCACAGTCGAGTAGAATCCTTATTTTTAAAAGGAGTAAAAACATTTCTGACTCATATATGAGACAAGAAAATGTTTCCAAATGTTTAAGTCATAACCTAATTTTTCATTTTAAATTCTGTGTAGGAACTAAAGCAAGACATTTCCAGTTTCCGCTTCGAAGTTCTGGGATTACTAAGAGGAAGCAAACTTTCCACAATGCAATCTGCAAATGCCTCGAAGGAGTCTTCAAATTCGGCAGACTCGGATGAAAAGAGTGATAACGAAGGTAATAGCAAGGACAAGAAAAAGAATTTCAGCCTTTTTGATTTAACCACCCTGATTCATCCGAGATCAGCAGCAATTGCCTCTGAAAGACATAACATAAGCAATGGCTCTGCTCTGGTGGTGCAGGAGCCACACAGGGAGAAGCAGAGAAAAGTGAATTTTGTGACCGATATCAAAAACTTTGGGTTATTTCATAGACGATCAAAACAAAATGCTGCTGAGCAAAATGCAAACCAAATCTTCTCTGTTTCAGAAGAAGTTGCTCGTCAACAGGCTGCAGGACCACTTGAGAGAAATATTCAACTGGAATCTCGAGGATTAGCTTCACGGGGTGACCTGAGCATTCCTGGTCTCAGTGAACAGTGTGTGTTAGTAGACCATAGAGAAAGGAATACGGACACACTGGGGTTACAGGTAGGCAAGAGAGTGTGTCCATTCAAGTCAGAGAAGGTGGTGGTGGAGGACACCGTTCCTATAATACCAAAGGAGAAACATGCAAAAGAAGAGGACTCTAGTATAGACTATGATCTAAACCTCCCAGACACAGTCACCCACGAAGATTATGTGACAACAAGATTGTGATACTTGAAGGAGGAAACGTTTACCGTACACATGTATTTTCTATAGTGCTCTGGATGAGGGAAAACGTTTAAAATTAAATTAGCAAATGCTAACTTACACTTTATAGAGTTTATCAATTGTGGCATATTAACCTGTAACATGTTTAAATAAGGCAAAGGCAATCAAAAACCTTTTTGTTTCGTAGCCTGCTTTTGCTTTCACAATTTGTTTTACAATTGTTTTTGTTAATAAATAAACACACCTTGTATTCTTGTACTGTTGCAATAACCCACAGAAAAATTTTAGCTATCTTCTTTTTCAGTTAAAACAAATGCAATTTATTTCATGTGGTAGTTGACTCCTAAAATAGGTATTTTTATATGCAAAAACCAATGTGGCTGAAATATTAATAGCTTTTCATAATTTTTTAGGGTCTCTAGAGAGGGTTACTCACCAAGGATTTTCACCTAGTCCTATAGTTTGGCTTTAAAACACAAATATTACCAAATTATTTCTTAAGGACGTGTAAATAATTATTGTACACAATTAAAGCAAGAAAGCCTTCTCATGGATTCACGTCTAAACCCCTTCAACATCAGAAATACTTTGTAGGGTTTTCGGTTTCCAGGGTTTCCTTTCAGTAAGTAAAATAAGTGTTCGTCTTAATACATTCTGATGATTGATGATTTTTCAGGACAACTTGTCAGAAAAAAAAACTCGCTTCTTCAGTTTTTCTAAATTACCTAGTTCAGATTCAACTGCTTATCAGTATAAATATGAGTCTTTATGAATGACTGATTTTCAAAAATATGGCAAAATTTCTGTTATAGAAAAAATAATAAACTATAATATTGTAAGCACCTTAAACAAGCCAGATGATTGCATACTAATAATATCCAAATGAAAGTGAATTTCTTCTAACAATCTAAATCTAAGTAAAGTTGAATTCCAGTACTTTCAATCAATGCAATAATGTAATCAATTCAAAAGAAGTACAAAAACCTAGTAATCTCCTTTTTCATCAGTAATTGGTATGCATTTCTTTAAAATTAAAATCAATGAAAAATGTATTATTAATTTTATCAGCAGATATAGATACATAGTTTTGCCTACAGGAACGACATTCTTATTGTTTGTTTCTTTTTTCTATTGTTTGCAAGGTAATTTAGCTTATAATAATTCACTGAACTATTATAAGGAAAGTGTTCACAATTTACACAAAATTGGTACTAGAAACTTAAAGTTTAAATTACATTGCTTGTGTCTATTTAAGCCACTGTAGGAAGTTTCTTCACCACATAACAATTAGCATTTATTTCAAATAAACAGAAAAATGCTGAGTTCATTTTATTTCAAAATTACTCTGTGAACCTCAGAAATTGCATATGATTTTTCACTGGCCCCAAACTGCATAATACTATGGCACTCAGTTTCTGATTACCAAACGTCAAAAATAAGGAATTAACAGCAACAGCAATGCCAGCCTCCATTCTATTCCTATACACCTATTAACATATAGATACTGCTCTTAACAACACTCTGAAATAGCTCCTGCTCTTAGCCCCATTTTACAGATGATAAAAGTGAGACCAGCACTAACTGGCTAAGGTAACATAGCTAATGATGGAGCTGTGATGTGTCCATAAGAGCCATTCCCTTCACCACTGCATTGTACTACCTTTCAGAACACATAAAGAGCAAGTTATAAAATACACACATGCAGGGGTTACCATTGCCACTTCTGAAGTCCTATACCTTGAGAGAGAATGAGTTTGGTAAGCTTCATAGGTATCCCTTCTTGAAATGCAAGAGAAATGTACAAAATATAAAATGTGTTGTATTTGATGTTTTTATACTAAATTACATAAAGTTAGATTTTAAAAACATATTTAGTATGTGATCTCCGAACTCAACTGGAAATTTTGGATTTTAATTTTCAGAAAAGCCAGAGACACTAAACCCCTGCTTACTTCTAAATCTGGTTTTGTCCTAGGAATTTAGGAATGGGCCACTTAGGTTTAGAGCAACACAAGTCTAATGAATGTATTCATTGTTTCAAGAACACCTTTATCTCAAGTATATTAGGACTCAGAGCAAATCCCGCATCTACTAAAATATTCCATTTTTTCTAAGTCACACGTACAGTAGTAGAGAAATTATAGGCCTATTCTTCATATTTGTTATATTTTCCATTAATTTCTCTTTGCCTCTCCTGTGCATTGTTGTTTTGTTTTGTTTTTTTCCAAAGTAAGGACACTCTACTTCACCGTTTTACTTACTTCACCAGAATTTAATTTCACATTATCTCTGTTCCTTCAAGCAACACCAACAACAGTAAAAGCAACAAAACTTTTTTTCCCCCAGTAGCTTATTTACATCAGAGGTTAAGGTGCTGACATTTTGTAGGGGAACATAATGGTAACAGAGAAATGTATTTGGAGCAAGTAAGAGCCTCCTTTTCAGTGTCCTGGAAAGGATGATTCTTACAACCCCCAGATGCTGCTAACAGATGTGTTTATGAGTCTGAACAAAGTGTTGGATATTGTTGGTACCAGATGCTACTAATATCACCAGAATTGAATGCTATTCTAAATATGTAGTGATATTATGTAGCATTAATGAAGATAAGCAGTAGGGACATAATAAGAAAAAACAACAGCAGGAGGGCAAGCAAAGAACTACTGTTTATTTGAGGTCTGTAAGTGAGTACTTCAGGGTTTTTATTTCTATTCATATTTCTATCCACAGAAATTTCTAAATGCTACAGAGAAGTTTGAAATCACCTTCATTTACGTAAATAATGTTTCATGTTTTTCATGCTCTCTTAATCCTAAAAAATCTATTTTTCTTAAATTTTGTGTCTGAGTTGGGTGAAGAAGTGTGTTGAAAATTCAATTTAATAGACTAGCAGGTAAGTTTAAAACACTTTGTTTATCACAGATATATTTTGGAAGCCCCATTTATAAGAAAGTATGCTATAAAGATGTACCTCATCATTTGTAATAAAGGTTTTCCTTAAAATTTCTGTGGAAATAAATCTGTATTAACTTCAGTAAGGAAACTGGCTATTTTTTTTAAATGGTGAATTATTTTGTAAAATGAGAAGTAATTTTTCAAAGTCCTAAACATCCTCAGAATTTATCTTTGTATGAGCTGGGTATTTGTGTATCAAAACTATTCTTAAATTAGCTCCTCTATTTACTGTGTGGCAATTAAACTAGTGCAAAAACACTCACTTTCTTGCCTTGACATAGACAAAAACTTGAAATACTTCAGTGATCAAACGAACTGATGAAAAGTCAAGTATAGTAGACTTACCATACTATTGCCAAAAAAGCAAAGTCAATTTTCTAGCAAACATGGAGGAAATATAAGTAACAATGGCATAAGAAAATATTCTTCTAACATTTGATAATCCTTCATAACTCTGGGATTTAGTCGAGTAAATGACTATCCAGTCTCATGGCTCTTTACTGAAGAGCAGCCACCAAGTTTTGAAATCTGTGCATTCTTAGGCCTTTTGCATTGTATTTTTAGCTGTCTTCTATGGTCCAGACAGGTGGCTTCCATGCTTAGTGTCCTTAAAACTCAACCTAGCAAGAACCATCCATTGTGGACCTATAAATATGCTAACAATGACTGAGATTTCAGAAGGACAGAACTCTGAATATATTTCACTATTCTGAAAATTATTTATTCTGTTTTTTATTATATATATTTTTCTTTCCCTGTATTATCCAAAATTTGGACCTAAAACTAACCATAGAATTTAGAAATTTAATATTGCTGGCATTCCTCTTAAAGTCAACTTCAAAACCATTATTCTAATAATTTTACAATGTCTGAAAATGCATTTTATTTATGCAGTGTTATCACATGCCTTTTTAAATTTAAATTTTAGAACCATGTTAAATAAGTTCACCATAGATAACTGGGGAAAGTAAAGCTCAGGGGATTTATGGAAATTATCTAAATTTATCCAGGTATTTGATGGTCAATTTGGAGCTTAAAAACCTCCTCATCTAGATATTTGGATGAGACATCACATTATAAATGCCTTGAGTACTGACTTTTTATTTGGGGAACATTTTGTCTTCTTTGCACTTTCGGAAGTTGTCCAAACATTCAAGTTAAAACTCAGAATTAATACCATATTATGTTTTTCTACAAAGTTGTGTTAAGAGAATTTTTTAAAAGCTGATTTCTTACTGCTTTCAGAGAATACACTGTTCATTTTTCCTGAAAGTGTAGATTTTATAACCTATATGAATATTGGTAATAATAAAATGTATTAAATAATACCAAAACTTCTCAACTGAAAAACGATAGAAATGAACAACGTAAAGCTGAACTAAGGTTGGGACCGTGGGACCAAGCCTGGATACAGCCACACCGTTACTAGGCTGACAGCAAAGATATCTCTGGAAGTGATATTCGCCAGTAGCAAAACCATTAATTTCCTTTTGAACCGCACTGTTCAGTAAGGTAGCTCCTAACCACAAATGGCTATTGATTACTCATAAGCGTGGCAAGTCTGAATTAAGATGTGCCGTAAGTGTAAAACATACACCAGATTTCTAAGACAGTATGAAAATAATGTAAACTAGCTCATGAATATTTTATATTGGCTGCATATTGAACTGAAAGTATTTAGGAAGTGTCCATTTAAAACATACTAAGTAAATGCGTTTTATGTTTCTTTTTCCTTTTTCAATGTGACTACTAGAAAATTGAAAAATGTGTATGTGGCTTGCATCTGTGCCTTGCAATACATATCTGTTGGACAGTGCTGCTCAGGAACATTTGTACTTGTTTCAGTCAACTCATGTATTTCCATCATCTGAATTACAAAGGTAGAAAATTCTGTATTTAATTACTCAGAAAAGTTTATGTAGCTCTACTGAAGTCTGCAATCTCTCCTTGATTTCTAATCTCCTAATGGAATCACTGGTAATAATTTGCTGTTTTCCATGTTTTTCCTTTGCCTTTACAAATGTATTAATATATAAATATACATGTATATATACAGGTTATGGTTTTGTTATCATTTTTATCAAGAATTTTATCACACTATACCTATAACTTAGCAAATGTTTTTATCTAACAGTGTATCATGGAATAACTAAATATAGTGGAGCCATTTGAGTCCAGTCAAATAAATTTCTCCACTAGTTATTTTACCTACTGAAATATTATCACGTGGTATTTTTAAAACCATGATGGAAGACCTATTTATTGGAGAAAACACAAGGTTTTTAAGTGTTGACAAATTCCTGAAAGACAAGGTG